CTCGTAGCTTTTGTAGGTCTCGAGATGGAAAATCGGTATAGACGAATATACAGACACACACACACACAGACAACCCCCTCGTCAATATGCGTTTTCTGCATTGCATAGTTGCAAAAAACGCATAAAAAAACAGGGAAAATAGAGTCGGGCAGACAAAATCTATTGAAAGCATCACGAGATGTAAGCAAAAGAACGAAAATTATGTACAGGATGATGTAAAAAGCAGCTCATTTGTGAATAACGCGTCAGAGAGAGATGTGATGTATTTAAGGATTTATGCAACAAGCACTTGTCCAGTTAATAAATGAATGTACGGATGCTTACAGAGAAAAGAAAAACAAAATGACTTTTTAACTAATCTACAAAAGATCTCAAACGTTCTGCAGTTTTAACATTATCCCATATTTGAATGTACATTCAGTAAGGTGAAATACCAAGACTGTAATCGGGCTATCATTGTGAATATTTCATATCTGTGATGTAACTCTGTATCGGTCCTTTGATTCTGCAGGTACTCCTCATACCGCCTGTTCGATGCATGTACGATGTCTCTTCAGAGAAAGTCCGGCTGTGCTCTTTACTTTCTGAACAAAAATAAACTTTCAAAATCTGAAATTTACAAATCTCGCTGTTTCACAGGGAGACCGGATTTTAGACCAGACTCAGATATTTATAAAGCCTAAGTACTACGCACTACCCCAAGAAAGTTTTTACCGTTCACCCCATGAAAATTTTGGCAAGGAAATTTGTTACCCCGGGAACCACGACAGCTAAGAAGCTGAAATTTTTGGGGTGACATCCCCTGATCATGTACGGTCCCACTAATTTAAATTCAGCCGTCCCGTGCACTCGGGTACCGTGTACCACCCCATGAAATTTGTAGCGCTAGATAAAATTATCTCGGAGATCAAGAAAGTTAAGAAGCTGAAATTTTAAGATGTACTCCACACAGTGAGACCTCGCAAATTTAAATTTAGCCTTAACAACCCACGCCCCCCCCCCTCCCACAGGTATGGCCCCGTAGAAGCTTTGGCGGGAAAATTATCTCGGAAGCCGGAATGACTAGGGAGCTGAAAAATTCAGGAGGATATTTTCTGTCTATACAAGGTTTCACGAGCTCAAATTTAACTCCCAAGTATGACGATGTCTTACGTACGACTAAGCGCAAGTTCTTGCGCAAAAGTTACTCGGAAGCCAGAGAATTAGAGAGCCCATCGTCCAAGTTTTCAAATTCAGCTTCCACGTATGCTTAAGTTCCAGTTGCCACTACGCGAAATATTCTTGTAAGAAATCCCGCAGCTTAGGAACCGGACAAAATATCGATTATTTTTGACAGACCAAACTACAAAACAGTAAAAATCCTTAGCAAGCGAACGTCCTTTTGACGAAGCTGCGTAAAAAGCACAATCATACTAGCTGCCCAGGTAGGCGCACTTATTTTAGAATTTCGCTTTTTTTTGCCTTTATTTATAGGCTCAGGTTTGCTTTCATTTACTTTTCTTTGTAGTGCTGTGTTATCTCATTCTCTTTACTGCTGTCTGCAGTTCTTGCCTTCAATAGTACCTTTGTTCCCCTTCTCTATTCTGTCCCCCACTCCTGCATCCAAAGCAGCATCTGGGCTCGTCCCCAATCCTGTAACACTGCGCTCCCCAAGCAGCAAGCATTCCAGTCCCTTTCCGATCCTGCTGAGTTTCCGCTATTCAAGTCTGCACACCACGTTACCCAGTCATCAAGCGCTGGGTAGCACTGGAGGACCGATAGCCAGCACTCGCTGGCATCATGCCGGGCAGTGCCGACAAGCAATATCCTCCAAGACAGCAAAGCACAGGAACGAGGGGGTCTCTCAAGCGTGGACAAATCAAGTTCTGGTAACTGCCGGACGTACGCGGTGGCATTTTTGATCGCTTACAGCAACTTTCGCGACTGATACAATCCACACCGAATACTGTCTGTGTTTGCAGCTTAGGGATGAAACACACAGACAGACAAGTTTACATTCAACCTTCACACAGGTTCTTATTACATCTCCTGAACATTTTTTTTACAACATATGCTGTTCCACTATCTCTTTTCACTTCTTGCTTTCCTGGTCTTCCCTTCCATCTCGTACTCGAGAATAGCTGCCCAAACTGTATCGCGCGCACGTACAAGTCGCATTTTGCCGTTGGTACCAGTGCAACACTCGTTTAAATGGGAAAAGAGCCTGTAGTTTTTCGAGGACATTAATCGTTCTATGTGGACTGTGCCAGCCAGGCCCCGATCCCTCCGCCGCCTTTATTTACTTCCCAGCACGCCTTCCTCGGAGGTCCCCTTAATCTTGGCATGTGCCCCACCGATTTCGGGCATTCCGTTTCTGGCACTGCAAAACTGCTGTTGCTACTGCTGTTGCTGCTAACCAGAGCCGGAATTGCGAATAGTAGAAGAGGCCTGAACTTAGGTGTCATGCACAAAAAGACATTTTACGATGCAGCCTACGTTTCATCCCTTAGCTGTAAACACAGACCGGACTGGGTGTGCCGGTAGGAGTGGGAATCGTCAGTACAGCCTCCTACAGGAAGGAAGGCCCGTGCACCTCGTTTCATGCACACTCACCTAATTCGCGAGCAAGCTGCCACGAACAAGCAGCCGCTGAACATCTGCTGCGCCTAAACTGCTCCTCTGAGATGACTGCCCGGACCGCGCCATCTCCCAGAACAGGCCCGAACAGACCGCGCCCCAGAGACCCCCTCTCATGCAAACCTAGGCACCGCCGCTCCTTCCAGCACCGCGTCTACCGACTCACATGGAGGGGAGGGGAAGCAGTGGCCAAACTCAAGCGGGCCAGTCGCAGCAATGCTCCCGTGCACGCTCCCCGCAGAATCCCCCACCCGCCGGTCCCCGCTTCAAGCCCACTGGCCGAGCGTCGGCCGTCGTCGCTCCCACGCTGTGTGCTCTCGAGCAGAGCGGCACTCTCCTCACTCGATCGATCGCGCCTCGGCGCCGGCTCGCTGCTGTGCTGGGGCACGCATGCGAGCCGTCCGTCTTCACATCGCACGTTTGGTCTCGTCCATAAGCGGGTTCAGAACCAGCTACTGGGGGGCGGGGAGGGGGAGAGGGGGAGGAGAGTCCCCTCTCAGTCCGGGACTATGAAACAGCTAGGGATGGGGTTGTAACACTTTGGAATTGCTTTAGTTGTAGCATTAGGCCTGGGCTACCTGTGCCAGTGGCGAGGGGGTCCCCCTGTGGTCTCGTTCGCATGGCGAAGGGGGGAGGGTTCTGGCTTGCTCGCCGGGAAATCCGTTTCAGCTCTGAGTGGAGCCGTCCGCAGTGTGGTGCACCGTGGAGTACGGACACCGGTAGGCCTCGGAGGGTCGCCGCATTGGCTGCTTGCAGAATGCCGGGCGTTATGTCGCGCTGCTGCTGCGGCTCACGCGCCTCCTCTCGCACAGGTCGGTGCCCGGTCGCGGTCGCTTCTGCAGCCGTCGGGCCGCTGCGCCACTGCTCTGCGCCGCTCGTTGTCTCGGTTCTTCCCCCGCGCTTCGTGCTTCCCGGCATGTTCGGCGAACGCCGCCTGCAGCAGGTGTCGCGTGGGTGTGCTGTACTGTGCGGTGGCACTTCTCTGTCTTATCGTTTCATTTGGACGCCGTCCCATCGCGTGTATTTTTAATTTCTCGCGCTGCGTGCTTGCATTGCTCACCGGTGGCTAGCTCCGAGAGTTGCGACACCTATTCATGCATGGCGGGTAGGAGGCTGTACTGACGATTCCCACTCCTAGCCGCATGCACTGTTCGGTCTGTGTATACAGCAAAGGGATATGAGAAACAGGCTGCATCGTAAAATGTCTTTTTGTACATGACACGCAAGTCGAATCTTTCTATTCTACTGTTCAAAGCAGGCGCAAGCCCCATGTTTTGCTACCGAGAGTTTTGGCCTGTTCTCGGTTAGGCCCTCTTTTCGTGTCCCGGCTCGCCCCCCCCCCTCCTCCCTTTCCTTCGTCATTTCTTTCAGCCGTTTAGCCATACTCCCTGATCCTGCCAATATTTCAGGTTTCTGTTGTGCTCTCGCCAAAAACGAGATATTCTTCGATAGCTGGGCGAAACGAAGAAACAACAGCGAAATGTCCAGCGTCGGCAGCTCTGCTGGTAGGCCATTTGTAGCTTGTATGGCTGCTGTTTCTTTCAGTAGCATGGCAAGATCATGCCTTCATGTAAATTTTTGTAACAGGGCATCTCTGAGTTTGTACAAGAGTATGTGTGTGCGTGCACTTGTCTGTCACATAATATTTCACATAATAATTCATGGTTTTTTTTTAGAAATTGCATAATGAGCAATTGCATTACTATGATGCAACATCCCTGGTCCTCAGTTCAGTTTTTGGACACCCAACCTCCAGTAGAATTTTGCAGTCTCTCTCTCTGACCACAGGAGTATAAAAGCACTCCTCATTTCCGGCATCCAGAGTCGCTCCTTTATCACTCACCCTGTTCTTCGACTTCCCAGAACCTCGCCACTTCATTATCTATATTTCCGTTTACGTTGTATAGCCCTAGTGTGTGTATATAATTGTAAATATACATACATATATCTATATATATAATCAGATGTTTCTACGCTTTCACGCTAATAGAGGGCATGCACACTAGTTCTACGTACAGACATTTGGGGTCACGATAGCATGTGTGTGTGCGTATATTTCACTTCCCCAATCACGAGAGCTGGGAGAGGAAGCTGCGGTTTTGGAAAGTATGATAGAGGCTCGCAATTCATCAGATGTTCACAGCTGTGCGTAATGAATTTTTTTCCTTTCACAAACATCTGGTTGTGCGCTGGCATTGACGAAATACTAAGCTGATTATCGCATGATTGTAACAGGAAAGTAATATGAAGAACTTAAAAAGAAGGCAAGAATAGAACGAACTATGTAATGCAAGACGTTGAAATATTGCTGATACAGGAAAAATCAATAGCAACGCGCACCAGACTAGCCGGTGCGATCATGCGTTTTGTGCAATTCAGCCCATCGAACGGTTGACTATTAGTGGTTTTCACTGCTTTGTACTTTTGTTTACGCAAAAATAGTTCAAAAATTGGAAAATAGTTAAAAATTTCACGCACCAGCGCAAAGCTGAATTCGAAACTTTGAAGGGTGAATATTTCCCCGTGATTCCCTAGTTAATAGTTTAGCCGCCAAAATTCCCACGAAGCCGTAAGTGATACTCAGCAGCGAGGGAACGCTGAATTTGAATAGACACGGTTGAGCGTGGGCAGGGAGTTATCAACCTAAAATTTCAGCTCCCTAGACCTCGTGGTTCCGGAGATAATAATTTACCCGTAAAAACTTTCACTAGCCCGTAGGTGATACCCGAGAGC